CCTTCTGAATTACAATGGTCCGATACTGCCGAATTTGCATATTTTCCTTTAATTGCTCTGATATGTTCACTTAATCTTATTTTTAATTTTCTTTTAGTTTCTCCTATATATGTTTTTCTTGGATTACAATTACAATCAAATGAATATACTATTCCTTTTTCCTCTGTTATATCATATTTTTCTTCTTTTCTGTAACATAATTGTTTTTTAGTTGAATTTATTTTTTCCGGTATTAAGTTGATTCTATTTTTAATTACATTTTTAATTCTTTCAAATAGTTTTGGGACATATTTTAATTTAATAAATTTTTTCTCTTTATCTATTAATTTTGGTTGTTTGTCATTATCTAGTTCCTTAATCCATTTTTTTATTATACATTTTGGGTAGTCGTTTAGAATAAACATTTTAATTATTTCTTCGGTACTTGTGAATCTTTATCCCAGATGGTGGCGCCGCCCTGGCGACCAACATCTCAACTAGTACCTGTATCCCCTCAAAACAAATTAACTCGGCCAGTTGACCTACCAACAGACACGTGTTTTCCAAACCTTTGTGAGAAAGAAAAAATGTTCAGATACGTAGACTGTCATGGCGGTTCATCTCTGATTCCAGCAAACAAAAGAATCAGTGGGGACGAACGTTCTAACCTAACCTAACCTATTCTAATAAATTACCATAATTATTAACAATAATTTGATTGGTAATAATTATGGTAAATTATTAGAATAGGTTAGGTTAGGTTAGAACGTGCGTCCCCACTGCTGGAATCAGAGATGAGCCGCCATGACAGTCTACGTAATTAACAACGCTGAAATAACAAAACTAAGTTGATAACACGTGTGTTGGTAGGTTAGCCGGCCGAGTTAATTTGTTTCGAGGGGATACAGGTANTTTTTCGAAAATTTCCCCCCCATGGGGAAATGTTATAAATTTATAATAGATACATTTTGAGCCACAACAACGCGTGGCGATGTCTGCTAGTGTTAAATAAAGTAAAAGAATATACAGTCATAACAGTTGAACTATATTTTATGTATTTCACAAGATGTACAGTACAGTACATTATTAAAATCTCTTTTTATCAAAGTTTTGTTTATTGACTGATGTTATTTTCATAAAGATATTTACAGGTGTAGTTCACTGCAAAATACTTTTCCAAGTTTACTGGTAAAATTGACTATTGTCAGAGAAGAGAATCTCTGATAAGCTATTTCCATATATTGTGAAGCAATTTCACCAACAACTAATTCACCAAAAAACATTTTGTCAATATCTTGAGATGTTTTAAATCCAGGATTTTTCTGAAGAACTTGTATTAACTTTCTTTGTATTATTCTCCTGTTTCTCTAGTTAGTTTCTGCATTTCAGCCATGACTTTGGAAACTACTAGTAAGAACTGTTACCTCTAGTCCAAATGTTTCCAGTTTCTGTATAACTTTTGAAATACAGGAAAAAAGGCTGTTATGTAAGCCAAATTATTTGAGATGTAACTAGCAAANGTCACGTGACCATCTCGCTTCGTCGTCACCACTCACGTGACTGATGACGTTTAACCGAGGTCACGTGACACGAATTGTAAGCGTCCGCCGTCCAACGTGTTACTCCGCGATGTGAACAAGGTTAAGCAATGGCGGCCTCCACGGTGCACAGTCGGTAGAGTAGTCCGATCAGTTTTCGCTTATAGCTCTTAATATACGCGTCTCCCCCAAATAATTCTATGTGTTTAGGACACGTCTACTAGAGAAATGTCTAAAGAGAGCAAAATTAGAAAAAAAGGGTCCATAAAGTAAGGATAAACTTTTACCAAATTCTAGACAAAAGACTTTGTTGGTATTGTTTACTGCCAAGGTAGAAATTGCCTGATTAAGTGGAAACACTCTTGTAAACACTTTTAAAATGAAATGTTAAATATATATGCTGTATATTATATTACAAATGTAAATTCGTCTCTGTAATCCAAAAACACACTTTGGTAGACGTATCCTACAGCAATTTCTGGTTAGCAAATTATCCTTTATTTTTCATTAGACTACAAATATCTTTCGGGTTGGTTTAATTTATCCCAACCCCTCTTCAGTGCTAGTACAAATAAAAACAAGAAATATTAAAACATGACAATGTTAAATTATATGAAACAACCAAATCACAAATCCACTTACATTTTCTCTTTATGTAAATTATAAAATTATTTCATGTTTTAATTCACAAATTAGGGAGTGGGAGGGCAAACCGTCCTCATCCTTAATCTATATTTTAACCTAAAATTGTGTATTTCATATTAATATACATCTAAAATTCAACAATTATAACTTCCACCAAACAATCTTTTGTAATACTCACAATTATTTAAAATTCTTTACACGTGGNAGTGATTAAACAAAAATTATTACAAATATCGTAAATAACAGTTCACAAATGCATATATAGAGATATTTTTTGAACGGGGGAAATGGTCTTCACAATTTGAAATCGATCGAACACACTACTCGAATGCTCGTGTAAACGCGCGCCATCTATCGTAGGATAAATGCCAAAAACCTTCGCGAAAGTGTATTATAAAACTTCCCAAAGTTTTATGGCAATCGTACTATGCCGCAAACCTTCGCCGGAGTATATTAAACAACTTCCCAAAGTTTCACGGCAATTGGATAAACGGTGTGGTAATGCATGAAGGACACACACACACACACANAAAAAAGTTGAAATAAAGTGATTAAACAAAAATTATTACAAATATCGTAAATAACAAATGCATATATAGAGATATTTTTTGAAAGGGGGAAATGGTCTTCACAATTTGAAATCGATCGAACACACTACTCGAATGCTCGTGTAAACGCGCGCCATCTATCGTAGGATAAATGTACTTCGCGGGAGTGTATTAAAAAATTAAAAAACTTTCCAAAGTTTCATGGCAATCGTACTATGCCACAAACCTTCGCAGGAGTATATTAAACAACTTCCCAAAGTTTCATGGCAATCGGATAAACGGTGTGATAATGCATGAAAGACAGACACACATACATTCATTTTTATATATACAGATTGTAGTAATTATCAATTGTTTGTCATCCCAAAATTTTTGTCATTCGATATAAACTCCCACTCTAGAAATGCTGGTCGCCATTGCACAAAACTGTTTTCCGTTCTCGACGTCACGTTTTACTTTTCGCCCGAATTTGGCACGTGATGTCAGGAAATCGCTAAGTATGTGGTGCACGGGACGGAAGTTTAATATTTTGCTAATTTTCCCGAAGTCTGATTTGTGATTCAATTTCATGTCGAATTTCAAAATAGGAAAACTAAAATTTTCATCGCCATTTAATAAAAATATTGCCAAGTGACGATCTTGGCGTACGAACCCTTCAGGTAATATCGATCCATACTTGGGCATTGCCGACGCAACAGTTACATACATCTACAGAGACTGCGTTTTGCTAAACCAGATATGATGTCATGATTTTTAATGTCTTCTGTCTTAATTATATGTTATTTGGATTTTAATATAAGACTCGCTACGCAAAAACTTACCTTCCAGGAACGCTACTTTCAATGAAAACAGATTTTATTCTCTACTAGCTGCAAGGACCCGCTTCGCTGGTTTATTATTTGTATGTAATAGTTTTTCTTTATATATAAAAGACTGTTTTTCTAAGTAATCTAGAATCTAGTTACAAGCACCCACTTCGCTGGGCAAAAAGTAACGGTAGTGAAGATTAATATAATTACATTATAGCCAATCTTACCCGTTTTTACAAAATGCAAGAATTAGGTCCCCCGTTTCCAGACTAATTAGAGAATTTTTACGTTTAGTCGAACGAACTATTTTCAACGTTTCTAGAACGTTTACGATCGTTCTATAATCGAACCAATATTCGAATTTTATGTTTGAATTTAATTCGAACAAATTCGAACAAAACATTCGAAATAGAAAGCCACTTTCAACCACTTTCAGCCTCATATCTCCCGCACCCTTATAGCTATCGAGACGCAACCACCCCTATGCACGAATGGAGACTTGGGGTTACTACAACATACAAACACCATTCACGTGCGATGTGTAGTTTTGGCGAAAAAGTGAAATATAGGGACATACACGTCCATTTTTATATATAGATATAGATATAGATATAGATTTTTTAAACGAAAGTGTATTTCGGGCCTTATGCCCCTCTCTAGTCCTTATTACATATAATGATAAAACTATATACAATTTTGACGTTGACCGATGAGATCTCGTAACCATTACGATCAAATGGCGACTTCTGTATTAGTATAATTATACGTCACAGTTCATATATGCTCCGTTATATTAATTTTTAATCTTTTTCCAGTTTCATTAACGTAATAACAATCTGGTTGTAAAGTACAAGTGAAGATATAAACTAAATTATTATTATACATCATATCCGTCTTTCTATAGATTTATTTTCTGATTTTTAAAAAAGTTTTGATTGTTTTGTTCAATGTGCCAGCAAGAATAATATTGTATGATTTTAATATTTTCTGTATGTTTTCAAAAATGATCAGTGTGAAATCTATATTTTATAAATTATCTGTTTTAGATATTGTTTGTTTTCTAGAATGATTGTGAAACCAATTGTCAATAATTGTGTTAGTGAAGTATCACTTGAGAATCCAGTAATTTCATGTTGTATACATGCTTTCAATAAGTTTCGTGCTGTTTTTTAACTTTAAACGCGATGAATAATAATAGTAACAACAATGCTAATCATACGGTAAAATAAAACACATTAATAAAAAAAAATTTAAACTTGTGTACTTGAATTGCTTAGCGCCAGTGCGTAGTATACTATGCACTTGGCTCTCGCCGTTACAAGAAGCGAAACTTCAGAAGACTTTTAAACTAAACAATTAATTTTCACAGTCACGTTTATCGGAAACGTTTGAGAAAAGGGTCTTATTATCTAGACAAGGAGCTGTTTGTGTTTAGAGCTAAACGTTCACCAAGTTTCGTTTGAATCGGAAATCAGAACATCTGGCCCTGTCCTTGTAAGTGAATAAATTATTTTTTTCTTTGCAGAGGAATTCCAAAATGGCAGAAACCACACTTGAAAAAACAATGGAAATAGGTGCAATATCGCCACCTGACTGCACTTTAATCACAGAAATGCCAGAAATAATAATAATCAATGTACTTGAATACTTGTAAGATGCAGAATTAGATTTATGCAGCCGAGTGTGTACCAAATGGAAAGATATTATCGTAAACATGATGTATCACCGAGTAACAATTATCACAAGGGTAATTATTATAACATTATTTTGTTGATTAAATGTCATTAACGTCATACATTTATACGTACCATTTATTAATGTATTGATGTTAAAACATTAACGTCAATACATTTATACAATACTTTTAGAATAATTGAATTGCAGTAAAATAAGCTTTCATTAATCACATTATGTAAGTAAATTTACATTTGCTCTAAATATTCTGATTTATTTAATAGAAAATCCCTCTTAATGTAATAATCACCGCAATCTACGAATCGGAAAGTCTACGTCCCTACGTTGGTTTCGACAATAATTTTCAATACAATTGGTTCATTTTAGAAGATGAACCTAAACTTATGGTTTTGTCTACAGATGATCTTAATGGATTTGGAGAAATTACACTTGATCCAATTCCAAGTCATATTTACTTTATGCATTTATCGCATCGTAAGTAGTTGTACCATGTAAGTTTGAAATTATTTATTAATTGTTAATAACAATGACGTTTTTAATTTTAGGAAACTATTTTACAAACCCCTTTCCTGCACATTGTAAGTATTCATCAATTGAAACAACCGAAATACAAATATCAATGTTTCCAAAAATTCCAGGTTTGAATATTTTTAATTATTCGTTCACTGTACGTGGAAACGCATCTATACTTCGTGACAAGTCAGATTTGATAAAGGAAATAAAGAATGTTTGCAACAGAAATAATATACCGGACGATCAAACAAAATGCGTCATCTTTTACAAAGATATTGCAGTATATTCGTTCGAAGACGAAACTGGACATTTTCTAGATTTCTCAGACCACCGTGATGTTTACAAGCTCACATTATTTTATGATGAGAAAGTGAATGCTTTTCCTGTTTATATTTATGAAGGTAAAACTGGTTATACGACTATCAAAGAGAAATTGCAAAGGCTGAAATATTGTGAACTCAAAATCGTACAGAAGAGATGTTTCGCGTATATTTTTCATGACTCATGTACAGAGTGCATGGATCCAACAACTCGAGCATTTAGAGAAATTTTTCCTTTAGTGAAATACGTTACTCATAACTTTTTACCGTTTTATTTATCAATCATTCCAAGCGAAATAGAGTATTCTCGTATAGAGCACGACTATTTGATTCTCTGTACTACAATAATGGTTTTTGTGTGGTGGTAATAAATTTATTGTATTAAACCGGCTTTGTTATAATTTGGCATTTAATTGTTTTTGGTTGATATCAATTGTTTTTGGTTCTACATCAGAGATTTCAATCCTATCCGCAGGTGGACTACACTGAAAGTCTCAGTGCTTTTCAATGGGCCGTTGTAATTGATTTTTTCTATAAAAAAAAATGGGTAAATAACTACGTATGAGTTTTACTGTCCACAAAATTTTATATATTGAAAAGTATGAAATCACGGTTCTTTATTGTAATACCAAGATTTTAATCACGATTATTATAATTTAAGTAATTTTAGTTGAAGGATGTAAAATATATTAAAATTTTAGATTTTTTATGGCATTCACTTTGGATAATTAGGTCAATTTTTGGGGGTCTCAATCAATCTTTCTGTGGTGCCGAGAATCATTCTTGCAATCGAAGACTCCTACTTTTTATTAGAATCAGTGAACGTCAACATTCCCAGTCAAAAGGTAAACGGCTCATCAAATTGACAGGTGTTTGTATATGGCTGTAGGTATTACAAAAAACAAAAAAAAACATTGGTTAACTTATTTACAGTGACTCTCAAACCTCATAAGCGCGTATCTAATGTAACTTATTCACATTCGTAATTTTCAAATAAAAGTAATATTAAATAGAATTTAATGATTAGTTTTCTTACGTAATGAACTACGTTAATCAGAAAACAACTAAAACGGCAAAGCCGTATTTGGGACAAGACTATGTCGCTGGGACATACTACTATTTGGGACAAAACTTTTGCAACGTAGTCAAAATAATCTTGGTAACATGTGGGTGGGCATTATCCTGCAACAGAATGATGCTGTCTGTCAACATTCCTGGGTGCTTGGATTTGATGGCACGCTTCAATTTTTGCAAAGTTTCTATGTACCGCTGTTCGTTAATTGTGGCGCCGTGTTCCAGAAAGTCAACAAGCAGCAGACCTCCATAGTGATGTTGGATGCGCGCGTGACTCGCCAACCTTACTTCGAGCGCGTCTAACAGAAAAATGGCACAGCGGTGAACGTGCACGCTGTTCCTTCCTGATTTCCAATAGAGGGCACTTCTATATACACGCCTACCAAGTTCAGTGCCACACTTGTTATATAGTCTGTCTCGTTTTCATTTGTCTGCCCCTAATAACATATTTAGTGAATGACATGACATGGACAACGTTTACATAACGTTACAGATATTAAATTATCATCAGATATAAAAGTAATATTAAAGTCAGTTGACAAAAGAATCCATTTAATATGCAATAAATTCTCAGAAAGTACAGTATATACAAAACTTTTTTATAGGTTTCTTTCTATTCTCTCTACACTTTAAAGAAAGTGTTGGGAGAATAGAATATTGTCATATACGTACTGTCTGTCTCCAATCTGAGATAATCGAAAATACAACTAATATACTTGCAACTTTTTAACATCTCTCTTTAAACGTCGAATGAAATACAAGTGACAAAGCTATTCTTTCTTTATTCTAACCTTCGTAAATTTATCGCAGCTAAATTTCTCTTTCCTGTATTATTCTCGAGTATATTAACTTTTTAAATTAAACCAGTAATAATTTCAACATCATTACGCCTGTGTCTACTTTCCTGTTCTGTTTCTGTATGTGGAGTACTTAAATATGTTACGCAAAAAATCTAATTTTTAGGATCTATTTAAATTTACTAGTGTATTAATAGTTTTAGATCATATACAATGTGAAATAAATTCGATTTAATCATTTATTCGAAAGATTTTTAACATTTAAAAAAAAAAAAATAATAAGTTTAGAATAAGACAATTAGAGCACGAATTCTGCGATTATTAAAAAATAAATAAAATATAAAAATAAATTTATTAAGTTATCTCAATGATAGACATTTTGATCGAAAATTCTATTTCTTTACATAAAATGCAAAATGTACTGTGCTTTTTTTTATGTAAATTTAAATTGTTTTAAAGCTATTTAATTTTTATATAAAATTAACATCTTGTATAAAAATATTAATTAAAAAGTTCTGAAATTCTCTGTTCCATTAAATAATTTTAAAAATTTGAATATTTAATTGCTAAGTTCTATATATTATAGAATACAATAATTGATATATGTATTTTATTTATTTATTTATTCAAAAGACTTACAGGATATCCTAATTACAGTTCTGTTTAACATAATCAAACAAAAAAATGGTATGTATTTAATTTTTAAGGTATGTAGATATTGTTATTCACTGCAAAAAATTTGTATTAATATTATAAACACAATCAACTATTGAAAACTTTAGTGTTCTTATGAATTACAGTGTAAAATTTGCATTACAACTGAAAATTATCAAAATAGGAAATAAAAAATTTGTTAATCTAACAAGTATTTATAATTACGTATTGATTTTAATTTTAAAATTCCTCGTTTCTAATCAATCGAAACTTGGATTAATCAATTTGATCTACTTTGAAGTTTTTGAATAATCTTTAATCTAAAACAGGGGTGTCCAACCCTTTTGTTTCTCTGGGCCGCATTAGAAGAAGTCAAGGAATTTTGGGACACAAGTATATATAATATATACTTGTGGCCCAATATACAAGTATATTTAAGGATTAACATGTCTAGATTATAATAATAAGTATTAAAGCTTTATCACGAAACAAGATATTTTAAAAAATTACTTCTACAGACACTTTTAATTTTTACTTAAAAATAGATAAATTCATTTATTTGATAAAACGCAAATATTTGGTTTATTTGAGCCTCTGATTAATAAAAAGCCAAGAAACACCATTTTAAAGTGCATTTTTATTCAACTAATATATTTATAAATGATATGTAGCCCCAAAAGTAGCCAAAGCTCCAAATGATATTTTTTTACGTTAAACTAAAAAAAGTAGCAACATTTGGCTAAATGTAGCAAAATCTTGCAACGCTGGAAGGAATACTAAATAAAGCTGGAGTTGTGACTCGAAGGATTATAGAGCCAAATTCGGAAAAAGAAGAGAAAGGACAAAAGATAAAGAAGTGAGAAAGGTTAGAAAATTAAGACTCAATATTTGCCTAACAGAAGAACTATTTAACCTTTCTGGCAACTTTTTATCTTTTGTCCTTTTTCTCCTTTCACCAAATTTGGGTCTATAATTCTTTGACTCACAACTCCAGCTTCATTTAGTAATCCTTCCTCATTCACACATCTCCAAGTATATGAAAATATTTCATTTCCACTCAAAATTAAAATATGAATATAAGTTTATGGCTTTGTGAAACGTCTTTTCTGAGTTTATGCCGTTGAAATAAATAAATAATAATAAAATTAAAACATTCGTCGGTTTTGTTTACACCTTTATTGGGCCGCATTGAAACTTGACTTGGGATGCATGCGGCCCGCTGGCCGCGGGTTGGACACCCCTGATCTAAAACTTTCTTCATATCAACATTTATAATGGTTTTAAATTGATTTCATAATTTTAAAGAAATTATTCATGAATAATTTATGCTTCAGAATAATTAATTTCCAATATATAAGATATTGATATCGATTTAAATATATTAACTATATATCGATATTATCTGAAAATTTATGAGCTAACTTAAATTGGATTAATATAAAGTTCAATTTTATAAAATACTGCACAGTGCAGTATTTTCATGAAGGTTTTTGTTGATAGTGATTATGAATAAAGGAATGAATTTTTTATTTTTTAAAAAACAGTTGCGATGTTTTGGAATAAGATATATCTATCTAAAATAGAATCTATAAGTCTAGATAACAAGTTAGATAACAAATAACACAATATTAATTTCTTTACATAAAATAATGTATTAACATTAGTTTTCACAACAATACAATTAAATATTCAAAAACTTAAAATTAAAACTAAAATGACCACTTGGCCGCATTCATAACGGGCTATGCAGTCGCCAGCGAGCGAGCGAGAATACAGTATGTGGCGAGAATGGCGAGACGCTATAAATATCAAACCCTGTCAGATATGTGCGAGAACCAGAAATTCGCTTTCTTCAGCGATATTTCTCGCTTATGCATGGTTTTCCTTTGCGAGAACCATATCGTTCGCACTCTCTCTCGTTACTAAATTCGCTTCTGCATAGTCGCACCCTAACGTTCCGTTCGCACCGATGGCTGCGGAACACGTGTCGGGCTATCAACACAGAAATAAGAGAGATATTTGGAGAGACGATGCGATCTGCTAATTATTAGATATATGGCAAGAAAAAGTGTTTATTTCTAACCAAAACTTCCATTTTGTTGGTTGGTGTTCGTGACTTACCGCGTAGTTATGTCAGTTTTATCATCGCTTTCAATAGCCGGGTTTCTCTCAAGCGGACTGCCTGCGCGAACAGCTAGACGTTGGACTAGCGACAGTTATAAACGAATGAAACCGAGTCGCGAACGCATATAAGGCTGTCAACTCTATATGTCTAATTGTTCGTTTCTCACTGTCACAGTTATGATGTAGTTAACCGTCAAAAGAAAATGACCAATAGCGTGAGTCGTTAGATTCTGCCAGTACATTAACTGAGCTATTTTTTAATTAATAAAACATCCCGGGGGAAGCGGGATTTCAAAAATTGCCTATAGGCTTATTGTAATGCTTACCTCCACGGTAATGTTTAGTAATAGGCGAAAGATTAGTTCTGTTTCCGAGGTTAAGCGAAGGGCAATAGCACTCCATAACGATTTTTTAAAGTTTGAGGGATCAACGAACACGCTAATCACCACCATTGGTGAGATTAGCACGCATATCGCAAGGTGTTAGATTATCAGGTTGTCTCATAGAGAAGAAACGCTTCTCATTGGTTGCTTATTTGACGTCACTCGTAGTAGAAAACGCAACATCTTACTATGTCCTTATGGTAGAAACGTTACCGACCAGAGGCTCATAGCTTTAATTACACGCTAATATTTTATTAATTACGATACTTACTTTATTAAATAAAAATAAAAATTGATAATAAATAAGAAAAATTCGGAATATTGAGCAAATCTTTGTAATTTTTACGTGTAAAGTTAAAGTTAAAATGCGTTTTTGTACTTTGTAAATGAAATCTATTTTATCTATTTCATGATTTTATAACAACAATAGTTTCTTTAAAAGATTAATTTAGGTAAATCCTACGTAGGTGATTTATATATAAGTAAGTTAATTTAATTTCTATCGTCAAACTACTATATTTTTTAACTATAAATAATATTGGTCTATTTTTTAATTTTTAATACTCATGTACCGAAAACAATATTATTGATATAAATATGTACATATTAAGTTTCAAAAAAACAATTTATTACGTTATAAACACATTTTTGATATCAATATGTACATATTTAGTTTCAAAAAAACAATTTTTTACGTTATAAACACATTTTTTATGTCAATATGTAAAAATTAAATTTCAAAAAAACAATTTTTTACGTTATAAACATATTTTTGATATCAATATGTACAAATTAAGTATCAAATAAACAATTTTTTACGTTATAAACACATTTTTTATTTCAATATGTACAAATTAAATGCTATAAAAAACAATTAAATCAGGTACAAACTTTTTTAATTTTCTATTGTTATTAAAATTTACTTTACTTTTCACAGCGAAATAATCATGTTTAATTAAATTATTCAAAAATGTCAATCTAATCCATACACGTTGCTTTTCGTATGTGTATATAATGTCTTCTGGCAAGTTAATTGTCTGTTTAATTAATGATGTAATAGATGAAACCGTTTTACATTTCAAATGCAGTTTAACAGTTTTTGTAAAAATTGATTCCATTTTTTAAACTAAATTAAAGAAACTTTTTAATGGTTGTGGCAGTCCACCAAAAGATAAATCCTGAACAAGGGACATCATTGTATAATTATGTTCATTTTTATTTGGACTGACACTTTTTAAATTTGGATATTTTTTTTGTATTGTCTCTCAGTCTACCCTGCTAAATATTGTAATCCATCATTTTTTAATTTTACATTTTCCTGAGATATATTACATAAATCATTATCATTTATATTGCATGAATTTTCAGATATTTCTTGTTTTTTAGAACTTTAAAATTATCATTCTTACTCTATATATTACTTCAAGTGGAATAGGATGATCTTTTAAACAATCTCTAGTTCGAATCTGTGAAAATAGATTTTCTAAAGAATCCTGATTTACTTTACATGTTAAGATATAATGATATTTAGGAAATTTTGAACTAAGGTCGAAAAATAATTTTTTAATAGATTTAATAGATATAAGCATTCCTTTTTGAAATGTTTGAAGTGATTTTTTACATACACGTCTCATACTTTCAATTATTCTGTAAGTATTATCAAGTATATTATTTTGTTCTGTTATGTTAATGCCATAAGCACATTTGGAGGGATAATCAATTTTGTAATGAAAATTGGGTGTTGAAATATTCATAACATCAAACCATGCATTAATTGATGATATAAATTCAGAAGCTGCTAAGGCATTTTCAGTTTTAATATATGGCATTGATTTTGTTTATTACTGAATATTTGTTTTAATAGCAATAGCAGTAGAATTAGAAAATAATTCACAAGCTAACCTAACATTTTGTCATTAAAATTTCTAACATGTAATATGCTCTTCTTTTAATTTATAGCAAACTTTTATTTCATTGGAATTTATTTGAAGTAACTGTTGTAATAAGTTTTTGTTTATTAATGTATGATCTGAAGTTAAAAAACCTGAATCTAAAAACCAATTTCTAATGAGTTTTAACAAATGAGGTGCATCTGGAAAATAGTATATATTATTTCCATTAGATGGATGTATAAATTAAGTATTAAATATATTTATCTCTAATTCCTTCCATAATCCTATATTTTGTCCACCGCAGTCACTAACAACAGCAACAACAGTATATCCTGCATCAAAAAGTTTTGAAATAACAGTAAATAAAAGTTGTTTTTTCATTTTAACATCAAAATCCATGTAAACTGGTTGTTTCCATGATGCAAATAGTCCTCTTGCCATCATTACTAAAACTTGATTATTGGGTCCAATAACTTTATCCCTCACTTTATCATATTCATATATATNAATATATTAAAATTTTAGATTTTTTATGGCATTCACTTTGGATAATTAGGTCAATTTTTGGGGGTCTCAATCAATCTTTCTGTGGTGCCGAGAATCATTCTTGCAATCGAAGACTCCTACTTTTTATTAGAATCAGTGAACGTCAACATTTCCCGTCAAAAGGTAAACGGCTCATCAAATTGACAGGTGTTTGTATATGGCTGTAGGTATTACAAAAAACAAAAAAAAACATTGGTTAACTTATTTACAGTGACTCTCAAACCTCATAAGCGCGTATCTAATGTAACTTATTCACATTCGTAATTTTCAAATAAAAGTAATATTAAATAGAATTTAATGATTAGTTTTCTTACGTAATGAACTACGTTAATCAGAAAACAACTAAAACGGCAAAGCCGTATTTGGGACAAGACTATGTCGCTGGGACATACTACTATTTGGGACAAAACTTTTGCAACGTAGTCAAAATAATCTTGGTAACATGTGGGTGGGCATTATCCTGCAACAGAATGATGCTGTCTGTCAACATTCCTGGGTGCTTGGATTTGATGGCACGCTTCAATTTTTGCAAAGTTTCTATGTACCGCTGTTCGTTAATTGTGGCGCCGTGTTCCAGAAAGTCAACAAGCAGCAGACCTCCATAGTGATGTTGGATGCGCGCGTGACTCGCCAACCTTACTTCGAGCGCGTCTAACAGAAAAATGGCACAGCGGTGAACGTGCACGCTGTTCCTTCCTGATTTCCAATAGAGGGCACTTCTATATACACGCCTACCAAGTTCAGTGCCACACTTGTTATATAGTCTGTCTCGTTTTCATTTGTCTGCCCCTAATAACATATTTAGTGAATGACATGACATGGACAACGTTTACATAACGTTACAGATATTAAATTATCATCAGATATAAAAGTAATATTAAAGTCAGTTGACAAAAGAATCCATTTAATATGCAATAAATTCTCAGAAAGTACAGTATATACAAAACTTTTTTATAGGTTTCTTTCTATTCTCTCTACACTTTAAAGAAAGTGTTGGGAGAATAGAATATTGTCATATACGTACTGTCTGTCTCCAATCTGAGATAATCGAAAATACAACTAATATACTTGCAACTTTTTAACATCTCTCTTTAAACGTCGAATGAAATACAAGTGACAAAGCTATTCTTTCTTTATTCTAACCTTCGTAAATTTATCGCAGCTAAATTTCTCTTTCCTGTATTATTCTCGAGTATATTAACTTTTTAAATTAAACCAGTAATAATTTCAACATCATTACGCCTGTGTCTACTTTCCTGTTCTGTTTCTGTATGTGGAGTACTTAAATATGTTACGCAAAAAATCTAATTTTTAGGATCTATTTAAATTTACTAGTGTATTAATAGTTTTAGATCATATACAATGTGAAATAAATTCGATTTAATCATTTATTCGAAAGATTTTTAACATTTAAAAAAAAAAAAATAATAAGTTTAGAATAAGACAATTAGAGCACGAATTCTGCGATTATTAAAAAATAAATAAAATATAAAAATAAATTTATTAAGTTATCTCAATGATAGACATTTTGATCGAAAATTCTATTTCTTTACATAAAATGCAAAATGTACTGTGCTTTTTTTTATGTAAATTTAAATTGTTTTAAAGCTATTTAATTTTTATATAAAATTAACATCTTGTATAAAAATATTAATTAAAAAGTTCTGAAATTCTCTGTTCCATTAAATAATTTTAAAAATTTGAATATTTAATTGCTAAGTTCTATATATTATAGAATACAATAATTGATATATGTATTTTATTTATTTATTTATTCAAAAGACTTACAGGATATCCTAATTACAGTTCTGTTTAACATAATCAAACAAAAAAATGGTATGTATTTAATTTTTAAGGTATGTAGATATTGTTATTCACTGCAAAAAATTTGTATTAATATTATAAACACAATCAACTATTGAAAACTTTAAAGCAGGGGTGTCCAACCCGCGGCCCGCGGGCCGCATGCGGTTCAAGGTAAGTTCCAATGCGGCCCAATAAACGTGTAAACAAAACCGACAGATTTTTTTATTTTATTTTATTTATTTATTTATTTCAACGGCACAAATTCAAAAAAGACGTTTCACAAAGCAGTAAACCTTTAT